GTCAGCTAGGGAATTAGCCGATCTTTTAACCCAAAGTATCTTAACTTCCATCTCCCGCACCAGCCACTTGAATTTCCTCCTCTCATTATTGTACTTCCATAAGCCATTGTGATCTTTAATCAGCCACCCTATCACCACCTCTGAATCCCCTTCAATTAAGAGTTTCTTGATGTCCAACTCCTTAGCTTTCTGTACTCCTTCCATAATTGCAAAGATCTCAGCTCTAAGGGAGTCACCCACTCCAATTTGCCAAGATGACTTCTCTTCCTCTAGGGATGTATGAAACAGATATGAAAGGAAAGGTCTGCAGGCTGAAGAAATCTCTTTATGGACTCGAACAATCCCCTAGAGCATGGTTTGAAAGGTTTAGGGCTGCCCTTATTAGCTTTGGCTATGTACAGACACGGTCTGATCATACCCTCTTTGTGAAGAGGAGAGGATCCTTGGCCGTTTACCTGATTGTGTATGTTGATGATATTGTTGTGACTGGTAATGATGTCTCAGGGATTAATGATCTCAAATCTTTYCTTCATAYAGAGTTTGAGATCAAAGATCTGGGGGAATTGAGATACTTTCTTGGCATAGAAGTTGCTAGATCCAAGGATGGGATCCTTATCTCTCAGAGAAAGTATGTTATTGATTTACTCTCTGAAACAGGGAAGATGGGTGCTAGACCAGTTGCTACTCCTATCGATATGAGCCATAAACTCTCTGCTTCAAATGGAATATTGTTAGAAGATAAGGGAGTCTTTCAGAGACTACTTGGAAAATTTCTTTATCTATGCATGACTCGGCCAGACATTACATATGCTGTCAGCTGCATCAGTCAATTCATGCATGCTCCCACGGATGCTCACATGGCAGCTGCAGAGCGGATTCTGTGTTATTTGAAGGGCTCCACTGAAAAGGGAATTCTATTTGCTAAGCATGGCCATATGAAACTTGAAGCCTACACAGATGCTGACTAGGCCGGAAACATTGATGACAGAAGATTTACCTTTGGGTACTATAGCTTGGTGGAGGAATTGGGTATTAAGCAGAATACAGAGCCATGGCTCATGGAGTTTTTGAACTATTGTGGCTTAGATCCTTGGTGGAGGAATTGGGTATTAAGCATGATAAGCCAATGATGTTATACTGTGATAATCATGCCACCATCAACATTGCTCATAACCCAGTGCAACATGACAGAACTAAGCATATTGAAGTTGACAAACACTTCATTCGAGAAAGAGTGGTTTCTGGAGAAGTGTGTACCTTTCATCACCTCTGAAGGACAGTTAGCTGATTTCCTCACCAAGGGCATTCCCAAGGCTAAACTTCAGCATGATATTGGCAAGCTTGGCATGATTGACATCTATGCTCAGCTTGAGGGGGAGTATAGAGAAGATGGGCTGAATGGCCCATAGGCTGTTTATCCTTTTTTATCTTTTATGTTCTTTGCTGTAATGGGCCTTAATCTGGGCTTTATTCTTTCTTATGTTATGTCTTTTTAATTTTCTGCCCAACTAGGGTCTTCTCTCCTCTTGAACTCTGATTACTGCTACTTTCTTTTGAATTTTTGCAACTTTTCTAAACAGTCATTTCTTCTCAAAAGGCTGTTTTTCTTCTAGGTCCAAAGAGATCTCCTTGATCTCATTCATCAATCAATTAGGGAGAGAAGCCTTTATAAGGGTGAGTCTCCCTCCTTTAGAGATGGGGTTTTTCTTCCACTGACCCAGTCTTTTTTCAGATTTCTCTATAACAGTGTCCCAAAAGCTAGTGGACTTAGGATTACCACCCAAAGACATACCAAGATTACTTGATTGGTCAATTGTCCAGCTTATGGCCCAAGACATCCCTCAGCTCCAACGACTGATTTTGGGGGAGATATTCCCAGGAGGCTACTTATTGCCAAATTACATTTCTGCATATTTATAAGAAATTCCAACTATTGATCACCTCATTTCCCAAGTAAGAGATGCCCAGAATGTGTTCACTGTCATATTTAACTACAAAACGTGGCCCCATCTCCTCTGCCACTATGCTTTTGCTGTGATGATTGGTGGCATTTTAATATTTTATTAGACTTAAGGTTGCCAATAGGTTATTCCTTGTTCTTTTCAGTCTGTTATTAATACATGATCATACAGGGTTTCAACCACAGTGGTAATATACTAATGTATGTGTGGGAGGTATTCTCCCTTGATACCTTGTATTGAAATGAAACTGTTTGCCTGCCTTTGTGCTTGACTAATGTATATGTGGGAGGTATTCTCTTTTCAACATTAATAAAGGAAGTTGTTCTAACTGATAAAATTCTTTCCTTGGTATATCTTTAATACTATATTTTCCTTTGATTGATTTTATGGTTTTATTCATGGAAGAATTCTTTTAGTAATTTTTAATGGAGGAGTTACTAGTGGTTAAGGTTTCAAATGTTAGTAATTTTTATGGACATTTTAAACCATGCTTTCAGATTTGGTGTACAGAATCTTTCTTATTGACACGTGTCACCTATATCTGTGTCCAGGCATGTGCAACTCTGGTGTATTTGAATGGCATGGGAAATTCTCATCCAATAACGCCTTTTCTTGACATGCATTTTTAAACATGAACACAATGAGATACTGGTTACCAAGGAAAACATATTATTAAATACCAACTGCTTTTGCCATTTTTCTTCCACCAAGTGTTCCTTGCACGAGGGAATAGAAGAATATTTGAGGATAAAGCTTGCAGTATGGGACAGGATGGTAGCTGCTGTTAGCAAATCTGTGGCAGATTTGATCTTGGTTCTTCCAGAGTTAGGAAAATTGATGAGGACTTGGGGAATAAGTTGGGGGAGGTTTTGGGTTTTAAAATCTGTAATGTGGAAAATTTACTTTGAATTTTCAATCTGTTTTGTATTTGGGTGATGACTCGTCACCCATCAGATTGTAACCTTTTTCTGATTTAATGAAAGTTTTTATTTACTTGTCAAAAAAAATATTATATGTAGCTGGTTGGTTTGCCTTAAGAGATTTAACTTCATATTACATTATAAATTGCTACGCAATTCTTGTTTAAAGCTTAATTATTTATTTGTTGCACAGAACTTATCTCAAGCAAGGGCTACTGGTAGGAAAATAATCAGTCCAGAAACAGAGTCCTTGTCCAATCTAGAATTCAGGAACATCCGAAGACCATCATCATCATCATCTGTTGCTGGAGGATTACCACCACTTGGGAGGTATGATAAAAGCTTCTATTGCCATTATAGACCCAATTCATGAAATTAAACTCTCCCCACCATTGTTTCTTTGGCTCCTATTGATATGTTCCATCTCACTTTTATGCTAGGCCAATTCCTGTTTCCCAAACATCTGGTAAGTAGTGAACTACTGATCATTTTTCCATTTTGTTGTGTGCTTGGTTGCAATTTTTCTCGTCTGAGCTTTTCTAGAATTCCAGATAGGAGAACAGGTTCCTCCATGCCAGGGTATGGGAAGGATGAATACAACTGGAGATATGATAACAATGAAATCTCAGAGGATGTAATTCGAGCCTCAGATGCCTTGGAAAACATCCACTTGGATAGAAAAGCACGAAATTTAACATCTTGGCGGTATGTCTTCCAACTATTTTTTATTGTTAACCAGAAACTTTATGAATTTAAGGCTAACTCCAGCTACGCAGATTCCATTGTAGCTTGTTTATTATAATTACATTCAGCCTGGATGGGGAACAATCCCCCAATATAAGTTACTTCTGTTCACCCCCTGCCTAGCAAGGTAATCTGTTAGGTCATTAGTCATTAGAGTTCCTTGTGCCCATACAAAAATTGTTCTCAACTCCCTAGCCAGTTACATAGTTTCTGTCATCTTATATCTATAAATCCTAGAACCAGAACTGTTGTTTTTAAGCCAGTCCACAACTACCTTTGAATCCCCTTTCACTCAAACACTTTGCAATGAAGGGTTTTAGAACCTTGTAGCATTGCTAAAAGGTTCAGTCCTAGTAGAATCTCCAAAGCCTATAGCTCCTCAAAATATAGCCATAATGGTTTTTTTTTTTTTTGATTAAGAATGGATGAGGAAGGGGATAAGGAGTTTAGTGAAAGAAAGGGAAGCAGGTATTAGAGCTAGAGGCTAGGGGTGTAAAGGATTGAAGCAATGAAGATTGTAAGCTGGAATGTGAGGAAGAGATCCTTAATAAAGGAGGTTATGAGAAAAGAGAACCCAGACATAGTGCATACTCCAGTTTCACACCACTTGGCCCGTACAGAACGATTCCAGCTCCGCTGCCCTGCTGGTTTGACGAGCCATCTACGCGAAGGATCCAGGGCTCCTCATCCCAGTTCGCGCTTGGTCTAACTAGGAGATATGCCGTACTGGTTGCTACTTCACGGTGCTCGAGCTTAACCGGCCTAGGAACCTCGGGCTCGCCCGAACTGGGGGCCTCATGTTCAATCGGCCTGGGGACTTCGGAGCTGAAAGTGCATTCCGCGACAAAGTCTGCCAAGGCTTGGGCCTTGATAACAGTTCGCGGCTTGTATTGGAGATCGTACTCGCTGAGCTCGATGGCCTACTTCGTCAACCTACCAGAGACCTCAGGCTTGAGCAAGACTTGCCTCAGAGGCTTGTTGGTGAGGACGACAACAGTTTGAGCTTGGAAGTACGGACGAAGCTTCCAAGCTGCAATGACTAGCGCGTATGCCAATTTTTCGATCTCTGGGTACCTCGTCTCAGCTCCCTGCAACACTTTGCTAACATAGTAGATAGGTCGCTGGACCCGATCTACCTCTTTTATCAGTACCGAGCTGACCACCTCGTCACTTGCCGAGAGGTACAGCTCCAAAACATCACCCTCCTCGGGTCGGGTTAAGACCGATATACTGGCGAGGTACCTTTTGAGCTCGTCGAATGCAAGTTGGCACTCTTCGGTCCATTCGAAGCCTTTGCTTTTAATTTCCTTAAAGAAAGGCAGGCAGCGATCTGCCAATTTGGACATGAAGCGACTCAGAGCGGCTATACGGCCGTTCAACCTCTGAACCTCCTTCAAATTCCGGGGTGGTCTCATATCTAGGATAGCCTTAATTTTATCCGGGTTAGCCTCAATGCCGCGTCGGTTAACGATGTACCCTAGGAATTTACCCGAGGTGACACCGAAGACACACTTATTCGGGTTCAATTTCATGTTAAATTTACACAGAATTTCAAAAACTGAATGCAAGTCTTGTATTAAATCATGTGAAAATTGGGTTTTGACGACCATGTCGTCTACATAACATTCTATTTTTTTGCCAATCAATGGCTCAAATAATTTATTTATGTCTCTGAAATGTTGCCCCGGCATTTTTTAACCCAAAGGGCATGACCTTGTAACAGTACAGGCCGAGCTCGGTTATGAAGGCAGTATTTTCTTCGTCAGCTGGGTCCATCCTGATCTAGTTGTAGCCCGAATAGGCGTCTAAGAAACTCAGCAACTCATGCCCTGAGGTCGCGTCCACCAGACGGTCGATCCTGGGGAGTGGGAAGCAGTCCTTTGGGCAAGCTCGGTTCAGGTTGGTATAATCGACGCACATGCGCCATTTACCGTTAGCCTTTTTTACTAGAACGGGGTTGGCCACCCAGCTCGGGTAATGGACCTCTCTAATAAAGTCGGCTGCGAGGAGCTTCCCGACCTCCTCGTCAACTGCTCTCCATCGTTCTAGGGCTAAGTTGCGTTTCTTCTGTCTAACGGGCCTAACTATAGGATCGGTATTAAGCTTGTGAGTTATGATGCTAGGGTCTATGCCGGGTATCTCTGCTGTGGACCATGCAAAATCATCTAAATTTTCAAGTAAGAAATTTACTAGTTGGGATCGCAGAGGCTCCTCAATAGAAGCGCCGATGTGAAGTGTCCGAGCTGGGTCCTCTGTCGATGCCGGGATGGAGATAGTCTCTTCTGTGGGTGCAGCTCGCTCCTCGCACTGCTCCGCAGGTCGCTCTAGCTCGAGGTCATCTACCACCTTGGCTTTTCCTTTGAGGGCGGCGATGTAGCACTTGCGGGACTCAAGCTGATCACCTCGCGCCACCCCAACTCCGAAGTTCGTAGGGAACTTCATCGCCAGATAGTAGGTGGAGACCACCGCACGTAAGGCGTGGGTGATGGGCCGATCTACTATGGCATTGTACGGGGAGGGAGTTGCGACCACCAAGAAATCACGGTTGAGCCTTACCATGCTAGGCCAGGTGCCGACCTCCACAGGTACGTTGACTCTTCCCAGGGGCCTAACTTCCTCTCTGCTAAAACCTACCAAGGGAGTGCTTGTAGGCTTGAGATCGCTCTCCCAGAGCTGAAGTTTGTCGAATGCTGCTTTGAAAAGGATATCTGCCGAGATGCCCGAGTCGACGAGGACACGCCTAACTTCAAAGTCATTAATCTTTATCTTTATGACGAGCGCGTCATTGTGGGGGTAGTGACCCCGCGCGCATCGTCCTCTGTGAAGAAGATCGGGTCTTCTGTCCTTGGCCGCTTCGAGGGATTCTGCTCTTCCCCGGCGGCCTCGCGAGCTGATGTCCGAGCTGTAGCCGAGGTGCAGCCCGCGACGATCGAACCTCTGACGATCACATGAATAGTTCCCCGAACTGGTCTTTCTTCAGGGGGCTGCCTCTGCGGCTACTTTGCTTGCTTGCTGGATTCGGGAGCATCTCTACTCTGCTCCCCCTGCCGACCTGCTTTATTATTATTATTATTATTTCTATAAAATTTCTTAAGTATCCGCGACGGATGAGCTCCTCTATCTCGTCACGGAGCTTTTTACAATTTTCGGTGCTATGACCATGGTCTTTATGGAAATTACAATACAAATTCTTATTTCTTACACTAGGGTCCGCCTTCAGCTGAGGTGGCCACTTCACATACGGGGCGTCCTTGATCGCCATAAGGATCTTGGCCCGCTTCGCGTTCAGGGGCGTGTAGTCCGTCCTCTCTGCTACTGGAGCTCGAAAAGGTTGACCCGGCCTTGCCCCCCGAGCTTGGTCCTTCTTCTTCTTGCTATCACCCTGAATTGAGGACTTTGTCTCCCTTTTTCTTTTCTCAAGGGCCTATTCACCTTTCTGGTTGATCTCCTCCTCCATCCCTATAAACTGATCCGCGAGCTTGAGGAATTCGGTCACAGTCTTGAGCTGATTAACAACCACATGCCACCTGAATTCTTTGTGCGTGATGCCCCTCTTGGCCGCGTCATTGAACCGCTTGATATAACTCCGGATGGACTCTCCTTCCCTCTGGACTATGCCAAGGAGGCTCTCTTGGGTTCTGGGGCACCGCTTGCTGGTGACAAAATGAGAAGTGAAGACTTGCACGAACTGAGCCCAGC